AAAAGGGAATGAAATGGAAGGAGAAGGAATGAAAAGAAAGGGAATGAAATGGAAGGAGAAGGAATGAAAAGAAAGGGAATGAAATGGAAGGAGAAGGAATGAAAAGAAAAGGAAAGAAGGGGGAATGAAAGGAGGATAAAGAATGTAAAGTATGAAAGCAGGAAAGGAAGGAGATGAGATATTGAGAAACAGGAAGGAGACGGAAGGAAAAATATTAAGAAGGAAAGGAGGGGAGGAAAGATACAAACATTAAACCCCACGTCTAACTAAAGTATAATTCACGGAAGATTGAAATCCACTGTGATTTCAAGCAAATATGATATGATTAAAATATGTGATCTGATAAACCTATGCTTTTCTCATTCTAGTGCTTAAAATCAAAACTTGAGGAGTTACAATGTCTCAAAAATGTTACCTTCTCCTTCTGCAGTTATCCCCCTTTACAATCCAAACATATTCTTTTTACATGAGTATATACTATATAAATTATAATAAATATAAAGTTGTGTGAAAGGTTAGGATGGAAAGTTAATAAATAAATATATAGACGACTTCTTATACTTCTTCCACATAGTATTGAGTGTAGAGTGTAGGGCTTTCCATGGTTTATTGAATGTTAGGTGGGAACCATACGTAAATGTTTAAAGGGACTGTAGAGATATTTTGAATTGGCCCTCTGTAACAGAAATCATTATTTTCCTTTATTCCTTAATTAATCCTGTCAATTTCCTTCCTTATCTTTTCATTTTTTCCTCAAGGGAAACGTTGCAAATCTGCCATGAAACTCTTTTACAGATATTCACTTGAAAATACGTAGCAGTCCCTTTGAATAGCCATTTCTTATATTTTTATTCCATTTATAGCAACATTTACAAAGATTCATAAAGTTCTTTTGACAATACGATCCCAATTGCTGAAGCTTGTTTATTTTACCCCCAGTGTTGTTCTGTTTGTTTACAGTATCCNCCCCTCCCCCGTATTGAGTTTGCTTTTATGCTCCTAAACATTCAGCTAACAGAACTGTTGGTACTTTTTTAATGCTTTAAACACGTTAATTAATCTTTTAATATCCAGTTTTCCTACCTAACTTCTAGATATCTTGGAACATCCAGTTTTCCTACCGCACTTCTAGATATCTTGGAACATCCAGTTTTCCTATACGAACCTCTAGATATCTTGGAATATCCAGTTTTCCTACCTAACCTCTAGATATCTTGGAACATCCAGTGTTTCTGCCTAACCGTTAGATATCTTGGAATATCCAGTTTTCCTACCTAACCTCTAGATATCTTGGAACATCCAGTGTTTCTGCCAAACCTTTAGATATCTTGGAATATCCAGTTTTCCTACCGAACCTCTAGATATCTAGGAATATCCAGCTAACAGAACTGTTGGTACTTTTTTAATGCTTTAAACACGTTAATTAATCTTTTAATATCCAGTTTTCCTACATAACTTTTAGATATCTTGGAACATCCAGTTTTCCTACCGCACTTCTAGATAACTTGAAGCATCCAGTTTTCCTACCGAACCTTTAGATATCTTGGAATATCCAGTTTTCCTACCTAACCTCTAGTTATCTTGGAATATCCATTTTTCTAACCTAAACTCTAGATATCTTGGAATATCCAGTTTTCCTACCTAACCTCTAGATATCTTGGAACATCCAGTTTTCCTACCTAACCTCTAGATATCTTGGAATATCCAGTTTTCCTACCTAACCTTTAGATATCTTGGAATATGCGATTTTGAAGCATCCAGTTTTCCTACCGAACCTCTAGATATCTTGGAATATCCTGCTCACCTACCTAACCTCCAGATATCTCTTGGAACATCCAGTGCTTCTGCCTAACCTTTAGATATCTTGGAATATCCAGTTTTCCTACCTAACCTCTAGATATCTTGGAATATGCGATTTTGAAGCATCCAGTTTTCCTACCGAACCTCTAGATATCTTGGAATATCCAGTTTTCCTACCTAACCTCTAGATATCTTGAAATATCCAGTTTTCCTACCTAACCTCGAAACATCTTGGAACATCCAGTTTTCCTACCTATTCTCTAGATATCTTGGAATATCCAGTTTTCCTACCTATTCTCTAGATAGCTTGGAATATACGGTATTCCCACCTAACCTCTAGAAATCTTGGAATATGCGATATTCCTACCTAACCTCTTGATGTCTTGGAATATGCGGTATTCCTACCTAACCTCTAAATATCTTGGCCTATAGCTATGGCGGAGAGTATAGATGGAGAAGGGTAATACAGGATAATTGACGTTTACTGACAGACGATATTTACAGACAGACATACAGACACACAAAGGTGAGCTGCGGAGTAAAGCAATAACAAAAGAAACTTACCTCCAACCTTAAAAAAGTAATGCTGTAATCTCTTTACCTTAGAAACCTGATGATTTTAAACATTTTTCAAAGAAATTCACTTTTTGCCACAAACTTTAAATTTCTAATCCCTTTTCAACGAAATGCCCACCCCAGTCTAAAACTTGCATGATCCTTGCCGGTACGACAAGTACTGTAAATGCAGTCCGTCGTACCGTCCAGCCAGGCTCACATCCCAGTGTATAGTCGACCCAAGCAGCACGTTTTATGCAACAAATGTAGCCTAGCAAGATCACGGTGTGCCGTAAACCTTAGATATTTCAAAGTATGAATTTTGCTGGATAAAATAGATTAAGTTTGAAATATCACAGGTTTACACCATCAGGTTCCGATGATATAGAGATTA